TTCAAGCTAGATAACTGGATAAGCGAATTCTGTGCAGATAGCACTGATGCTTTTAACAGCAACAATAACGACAGTAACACCGACAGCCATTATTGCAAAGTTGGAATACAGTTACAGTGAATGGATTTTGTTTAAAAAAGCTTCTGAACTCCCGGAAGCTATGATATTCCAAGATAACGCATGTACTTAATATCTGTTACCAGATGTCTTATTTTCGTAATTTTTTCTCACTTTTTGAATTTACTTTTTTTTTCACTTTTGCTTGGAAAAAATATGAACAAATAAATGAAAAACAAAAAAAAAAAAATTGGTGAATAATGAAGCACTTTTTGAATAATTTGATGACTTTCTGTTAGCAGTAATAATTGCAAGCTGTTGCAGCATCAAAACATATGGAAAAGTCAGCCTTTTTAAGTGTTGTTTATTTAGCAGACGCATTTGTTATTTTTTTTTAGTTTAGTCTTTTTTCTCGCTAGGAAATAAGTGGTTTTTAGTGCTTTCTAAAAAGTTAAAACAGAAAGACAACAGAGTTCATCTTGTTTTAAGCGGAAAAAAAAGATAATGCTTTTTTAACGCATATAATAGCTGGAAAAATTTTAAAGACTATATGGAGTAATTAGCTGGCTTGAAGCTGTTGGGTAGCCATTCTGATAGGTATTGGTTATGGTGATAATGGTGGTTCTTGTGGTATTGATGGCGTTACTGGGTAGTTATAACAAAGGATGATGATTTGCTGGGACAAATGACTTTTAGAACAATAATACTTAGATTACCGTATAAGCTAGGTTAACCAAAGTTTTAGTTATATAATTAGAATTTTTTTGAAAACTGAAAAACTGGTAAATGATTATACTGACTTAACAGTCTCTGTTACAGAACGGTACTATTCAATGTGTTATCAATCAGTTTAGTCATCAAATTCTATTTTTTTTTAACCTTTAATTAAAATCTGTCTTAAAAAAAAGGAAAATGTATTATTGACTTCTGTAAACGATGGTTTAACAGAAAATGCATCATTAACATTATCATTATCTTTATCGTCATTATCATCATTATTTCTTTCTTTCTTCTTTTTTTTTCCGACGGTTATGCAATTTTTCATGTCTATAAGCTGTTTTTAGTCAGCTTACATTCAAAAATTGGGCAATAATTAGTCACCATGTTGCCTGCCTTTTTAAATGGTGTTGGCGTTACATTATTTACGGTCATTGATATGTAATAATTGTCATTGAGGTGGGAGGTGAAGAGGAGGGAAGATGAAAAAGATGAAGAAATTTGTTTTCTTATTTTTTTTTTCATACCAATTTTTTTTTCATCTTTTTTTCTAATTTTTTTCTGTTGGTTTAGATTTCTAATTTTGATCTTGTGCTTTTTTCAACAGTGTTGTAGTGATGACGTATAACTATATAAATATTATTGGTTTATTAGCTATAATAGTGGTTTAAGGAGGCTTTGTTTGAACACAACAATACGGTCTATGCTTCACAACTACTTTTTTCCTATACATAATTGTTTTTCTTACTTCTTTTTGCCTTTTGATCTTCGTTACGGTTTTGTTCACGGAAACTGTCAAGTTGGGAAAAAACAAGCAAAAAAAAAAAAAAGAGGAAAAACAGCGTGCAGCAAAACAACTTTAAAGAAAACGATGATGTCTGTTGTTGCTTTTGCTTTTGCTGCTACTGCTGTTGCCACCGCTATCGCTGCTGCTAATGCTGTTGCAGCAACAGTAGTGGCAACAGCTAAAGATATACAAAAAGAAAAAAGGTGCCGTGTACCTTTCGTAATTTACGTTAGTACTGATAACAAAAAAAAAAAAAAAAGGGATTATGCAGGGAAAAGCGGTAAAATTTGGACGAATTTAGTGCAAGAAAATAAAGGGGATGAAGAAATTAATGGCAAAAATTTAATTCAAATTTGTAATATTGAAACTAAATTTCTCTTTTTTTTTCTTTCTTTCAAATCAAATTATCTTTATCAACTACATCTGTAGGGAAAAAAAACTATTCAATATGGTATTTGACGGAAGAGAAAAGAAAAAATAAACTGAGTTTTGAAAAACTGGGATACAAAACCAGAAATTCTATGTTCTGCTTACGTAAACATAGAAGAAAGATGTTGTTGGTATGATGTGTGTGTGTGTGAATCTGTTTCTGTGTGTTACTTTCAGTAGTCAAAACAGATCTATATTGATATTTATATACATTTAAACAATACATGGTGCTCCAAAAAAATAAATGATTTTTTTTTTTAAATTTAACTTGTTGCCAGTATTCCTTCTGCTTGTTTCTTTCGCTGGCATCTTAGTTGCTGTTGGCAGTACTGTTGCCAATATACCATTACTATTGCTATTGTTGCTATTATTATCGTCTGTTGTCGTCGTTGATGATTATGATCACGACGGCGACAGTGATGGCTGCGGTGACTTGAACAGTAACCAACTCTGTTTCCTGTATTTCCATAGCGTTGATACCTTTCCAACTCTGTAGTAGTCCACTTTTTTTCGTGTTGATACAATGAGTATTGCTGTTTGTAGGCAATGATTATGGATGTCGGTTTAAATTTCAAATTTTAAACTTTCACTTTTGCTTTTTTTGGTGATAATTTTAACTGGCATTTTTAAAATGGTCAAAAAAAATTTTGAAAAGCACGAAGAAAAGGCACAATGAAGTTTTTTTTCTGATTTATTTTAACTCTCCAATTTTTTCCAATAAATATTTCTTTTGGCTTTTCCGTCATTTTTTTTCTTCTCCTGATTTTAAGGTTCCAACTCTCTAAGTTGCTTTTTTCTGCCTTGCAATAACCTCTGTGATATTTTCTGGTTTGTTTTTTATTTGTTTTATTGTTCTTTCTTTTTTTTTGTTTTGTTTTGTTTTGTTTTTGCTTCTACTTTTTACTTTGATTTTAAATGTGGTATAAAAATAAGGTGGGAAAAATGTCTCTATGTCTGTGTAACTCTTTTTTTTACATTTGGAAGAAAAGACTAAAGAAAAAGGAAAGAAGTTTCTTGATAAGTGCAATTAATGACTATGTTTATGGATGAGACGGAAAATTCGAGCTTCAAAAAATTTCTGTTTTTTCCTTTTTGACAATCTTGTCACTTCCTTTTTAGACCAAGAAACAATTTGATTGCTGAATCAACGAGTGTCTTCATTTAGTTTAAGCGTAAGTGCGTTGTTTGTCTGTGTATCTGTCTGTGTCTGTGTGTCTGTGTTTGTGGTTTTTCAGTTAAATTAGTCGTCTGGAAGCTACTTTTCTTTATTTGTCAAGACGTAGAGCTCTGGAAGCTTATGGTGACAGTAAGCCAATTAAGGGGATAAGAGGATATTTTCATGATTATATGAGAAGAAAAACTTCATATTTTATTGGTTTATGGAAATATCTTTAAATTTGTGAAATTCTTAATGAGATAGGAACAGCAGACAAAGGAAGCACAGTTTTTAAAGCAAATATGCTTGTTAAAAGTTCCACTGATTGAACGTTTGCTTTTGGTTGGCTTTTTTTCTCTGCTGCAAATATCTCTTGAAACAATCTTGTCATCCATTTTTTGACAATGATAAAAGTGTTCACCTCAGTTATTTACTTCTCTTTATTACTTTTATATCTTTTTTTTATTTCATTTTGTATGCGCAACTTGCGCAATAGT